CACAACTAGGCAGATTTTCTTCTGAGAAACTCTGTAGCCACTGCCCCTCATTTAGTACCCCTAAGTGAGTCCATCAGCTGATGGTCACCAGGACCACAAAACTTTTCTGTTGAATGGACAGTTATTTCCTTACTTTATTAAATGGAAATGAATGCTAAATAAATAAAAAACACTAAACAAAGAACGCATTTTCATTTAATTTTGTAGATACATCTTTGAAAATAATGTGTGTAATAAAGATTATTTGCACTACCCATATATGATGCATCATCTTCACAACAGCACAGTTTAATGTGAATTTAAATTCAGCCAGTAATTCTAAGGTGACAGTTTTATCTACAGAGACCTCCCTTTTTATTTCAACCAATTTATTTAATGGAACAATTTAGTGCACTGTATTAACTAATCCAAATAGCGTTCAAAGAAAAAAGTAAAGGGAAATAACTTTGAAATGTATTTTAATAATAGAAGTCATAGCTGTTTTTAAAGCAATGAATCTTAGCTTCAAATGTGAGTGTTAATTGTACAATTTCTTGTTAAGAGATTCAGGAAAGATAGATAGCATTGTAATCATTATAAAAATGTAACCTCAGAAAAAATTTGAGGTCATAAAATACTGATACACAAATACTGATACTTCAAATATAATACATGCTATGAAATCAACTAGAGAAAACACGAAAAAATAAATGACACAAATTATAAAGTTCAAATTCACATTATGCTTCAGCTCTCACTTCACGATTTCCACTGCTCTCTAGATGCACCTCATGTTCCAATAGTTTCAGAAACCCGGTGATTTTCTTTATTATAGGGACTGAGATGGCAAAGACTGAACATCCTGCATTTTCTTTGGTAATAGAAAGTATGATTTATGAGTGAGGAAAATCTAAGAAAACCGTTTAGTAAATTATTCAATTTTCAAATCAGGCTGATTTAAGGCAAATTTCCTTCAATCTGTCAGTTTGAAAAATGCAGCTTACTGGATAAGAACTCAGTGTTTAAGAGAACATCTGAATTTGTTTCCCTGTTTTTAGTAATTTTGAGACTTTAGGCAAAACACATTAACATTTCTGATATCCAGTTTTCATTTAAAAATGGAAAATAATATATTTCAAAGTGCAAGATGTACAACACAGGTGGCACTCAAGATAACTGGTACGGTGATGAACTTCCTGAAAATACTGTATTTTTAAAGTGTATGAAAGAAACACAATTACTATGTCAAATAAAAAAATTACTGAGATAAATCTTCATATACTATGAAATATCTTCATACTGTTTGTTTATACAAATTCTTCAAATGTTGGAAACTGAGCCTTAGAGCTCATTTTGATTGTGTAAGAATTTAAGGACAAAGTGAGGTAACACTCAAAGTACTCAAATTTTTCCCTTATGATCTGTTGTCATAGTATTAGAATGCTAATAAACTAAATAAACTCATATACAGAGGCCCAGTGCTAACTGTTACACTATGGAACCTAAATATACTCATATAAAAGAAGTTTATGAAGATGCAAACATATTAAAACCATCATCTGTTACTTTCCAAATGATTTGTAAGTGATATTCATCACCAAGAAACCAAAAAAGAATAAAATTGGGGAAGTGGGGGAAAGAGGAATAAAACTCACAGAAAACAAATGAGCAGGAATTTGATAAAACCAAACAACATAAACCTCTTACCATAAAAATTGCAAGGTGATGGATGTTGGACTGACACTGTGGCTGACTAATCTGCCCATAAAATTTGAAGAATATTCACAACCAGCATATACCATCTTCTTTACCACTAAATCAAATAGGCCTTTTACTTATTTCTCTAAATTCCATCAAACAATTCAGTAAATGCCACTATAATAAAGGTCTAAAATGTTTCCTATAATTTTACTAAATTCTTCTGAATAATTTTAAAAAGGAGTCTTTTCTAAAAAGGGGGTAAAGAGAGACATTATTAGCCAATATGGTATTGCATGAAAATTTTCCTCTTTGATGACTGTTAGGTTTCTCCTTTAATAAGCTACTACAATTATTATTTTCTTATAAGCAGCATTTCCCATGAAAATATATGCTCAGCATTTTGTGAATGTTTTCCTTCTTTTAAGTAAAATATTCTAAATTTTATCATCCAGCATATAAAACACCTCTAATATTTTTGCATTCCATAATACTCATTACTAACTTGAAGTTTTCTTTTAACATTAACAATGGATTGTTCAATAATAATCAAAAGACTACTGTGTCTTTAGTCATAGTAAGACTAAATTTCATAGTGCCAACAATTTGTTATTTTTTAATAACATTTTATTGATTTACTACTGTTTAAAGCACTCTTTCAAATTTGGGAATGTGAATTCACAGCTGTACGTGTGTATAATTGTCACCTCATCCACCTCCTAAGTTCTAGTGCCTTTCCCACTATTAGATTTACCCCTCTGTTCTCCCCTCCCATTCGCTTCCACTTTGTATGGAAAAAGTACCAAACATTCTTAACCAGGAGAATCGGTTGCAGCAGATCAGGGCTCAGTCTGGTGAAACTTCAAGTAACAGGTAAGCCATGTGTGACAATAAAACGTATGAAAAGTTTCACTTACACAGCCTGCCATGAATTTCTTACTAGGAAGAGGGCCATGGACTGGTGGATTAGTTAGATATTTAAGATTTGGAGTAAGGCTCACAAATGCCACCTCGTGGGAGTTAACACATGATGAATGACACCGTTTGTCTTTGCAGAGTTGGAAGAAACCTGTCAATGACTCTAACAGGCTTCTCCACATGAATCAAGAACTCAAATGTAGTCATTGGAAATTAAAGAAATTTTTCTACATCCTGCTTAAAAACTGAAATGCAATTATAGTCATATCATGTAATAAAAAAAGAGCACTTTCACAAAAGTGAATTTGCCAGATAATTAAACATAACTTCCACCAACCAAACAAAATGACTTGAATAGTTACCTAGCTTCATCAAATTAGTTACTGGTTTTATCCTCATCAGTGACTGTTCTGGCCTTGTACCCTAAAAAAACTACCATCTGAGGCTGCACCCCAGCATCCACACTTTTGACCTTCATCGTCATGGAAATGGTGACAAAAAGTGAAAAGGGAGAATAGTCGGGGGGACAGGATGTCATGAGCAAACTCCACAAACACCGGTTTTAGGGACACCTGCCCCCACCCCAGACCGAAGAGCTCCAAGGCCTCCCCGGTGGCGCAGCGGTTGAGCGCTGGGTTGCAAGGCTGCCCACAGCCTCTGCAGTGTCGGTTCGATCCCCGGCTGCCGGGCAAGGATCCCACATGGCGCGCAGACCTCTCCTGCCGCCCGCTGCTCTCCTCAGCAGTGTACTTCCATCAATCTGCCTGCTCTGCTCCCCGCTCTGGCTCTGGTGAATTCTCTCACCCTCCCATGCTTCTGACTGTACCCAGTGCTTGTGTAAAAAAAAAAAAAAGATACACTTCAAAGAGCTCCAAGGCACCAAGGACTACAAATCCCATAATGTCATCACCACTGAAGGGAGAATTGCTGGGAACTAAGGGTGGAGTTAAGTAGTTAGTCTTGGTATATAACCAGAGACATGTGGGCCTTGGGGGTTGTTGGTTTTTCACCATCCTTCAGCATGCTATGGGGGTCTTAGCTCAGAAGAACTGGTAGGATGCATTTTCCAGTTTCTCTCTCTTTCTTTATCCCTGGGTTAGTCCTCTCTTCAATTCCCCTTTTTGTAAATTAAGCCCTTTATTAACCTTTTGTTTGTGCCTGCAGTTGAGTCTCATTATAAGCACTTTTAAGCACACAGGTGAGGACTCACACTCAGACCAACCGATTTCACATTGGGGTTGCCCTGTAACAGCCTTAGGAAATATTGTACCTGTTATGATCTTTGTCCTTCGTTCAATAAACCTATCCTCCTACTTATCCTTTCTCACCATATAATGCCTTCCAAAAAGCAACACCAAATAAAAGAAAGAAAATCTCTTTTGAGAGTTGAAATAAGTACCTGGAAAATTTTTTTTTGTTTTTTAATAGAGGCATGTTTTATTTGTTTGTTTGTTTGTTTGTTTTGTTTATACAAGCACTGGGTACAGTCAGAAGCGTGGGAGGGTGAGAGAATTCACCTGAGCCAGAGCGGGGAACAGAGCAGGCAGAAGGACCAAAGTACACTGCTGAGGGGAGCAGCGGGCGGCAGGAGAGGTCTGCGCGCCATGTGGGACCCTCCTCCGGTGGCTGGGTAGCAGCCGGGAATCGAACCAGTGCCGCAGAGGCCGCGGCAGCTTCGCAACCCAGCGCTCAACCGCTGCGCCACTGGGGAGGCCCAGTACCTGGAAAATTTTAACAAGCTGGAGCATATAAGTTTGTATCATGTTTTCCTGATAAAAATATATAATTAACCATATTATAATTTGTTCATGAAAAGTTTTCTAGCAGTTTAAAATCAAATTTATTACTCATTTTTTTTACTGTCTCTTTTTTTAAAATCACAGTGAGTGGACTAAGAAATGATACCATTTTATATCAGAATTTTAGATTCACTTGCTAGACATAAAACAATAACATCATCATTATAAAATTACAATGATAATGTGGTGCAACTATAAACTAGTTTAGTGTTTTCTTCTACTATGTTTCTTATTTTCACAAAAGAAAAAACAAATAGCATAAAGCTATTATTAAGGTATCAGATGGAAACAAACTTCAGACTCATTATTATCAGGTATCCTTATACTGTACATTCCATTAAGCTATTACTGTTAATCCTGTTTTTGTTTTTATCAGTTAACTTCAGACCATTTTTATAAACAATACTTTTTTTGTTGATTATAATAGCATTTAAAAGTTCTTTTAAAACTTGGCAATTAGAAGAGGAAATTGATAGCAGCATAGGTCAGAAAAAGGACTCTGCTTGCCTTTTGCAGAAATGATATATTGTGAACTCATTCTTTAACACATCCTAAGTAGTAGAAAAAGTTATGATGAAAGAGCATGCCAATAAATTTTGCACTTACGCTGCAGAGGCAAACTGTCTGTAAAACACTCTGACGCTAACTTTGGCAAGATCTGTATCAACTCACAGTTACTATTCTCTGACGTGGGTTCTGGTTGACTGTTCATTGGTGTCTTTCTCAAGGTCTTCATTTGCTGTTGAACTTCTGCCAAGAGAACAGCTTGTATTGCTTCCATTACCTGTTAATTGTATTTTTAATGAGTTATTTTTAATATTATTACAAATACTTAGGTGTCTGGTCCAAAATCTAAAGCCTAAAAATTTGATTTGAATAGGTTTCACATGAGTTGTAATGCTCCGCTCAGTTCAAAGGGAATTAGCATCTGAAACAGTTGAAATGCAGAGATTAAGAACTGGCATGCAACTGTCATACTGTTCTTTTGCAAGAGATTCTAAAAGGGAAGCTGAAGGGTTTCTCAATTTTCTCTCCTAAGATATTTTCATTCCCACCAGAAGACAAAGAGAATTTATTTGAATATATCATATTGCTCTTAAAGACAAGTTTAGTTCCTAATGTCCAGCTCTAAAGTATTGTTCAGCTAAAAACACATGATTTAGAGTAGGTTTACACAGGTTTAAAATAAACAACTAGTAATAAATCTCAACAAACTGTGTGAACATGTGTAGCTTAAAATATTGCAAAATGTGCCTGCCAATCGTTGTAGATGCCTAGTGAAAGACCTGTGTGTGGGTGGAGGAGAGATGCTTGTCTCGGGGCATCTAATTCTAAACGTTCGTTTTTAAAATGAACAACCTTTGACATGACATTCAAGCTCACACAGACTTGGTCCACAGACCTTCTGACATGGCGTCTCTGTTCTTTTTAGTACATGTCTACCTAAGGTTCCATACCCTTACCCTTCAGTAAATGCCAGTAACAGTATAAATTAGCCTCTTCTTGGTAAGAGATGAAGCAAGGTCCGGGAGTTCAGTAGGATTCAAAGAAAGTCATGAACTGAATCAGTGAGAGAGAAAAAGGCACCACTTATGTAGGTGAACTTGGAAACTCATCCCATTATCCCATTATCCTTCCCACTAACTGGCCAACAGTTAAACCTTTCATATGGCCACATCCCAATGTTGGCTCCTCGTCCCCTCAGAAGTTGTCCTGTCACAATTGTCACTGTCCCCTCTGCATTTTCCCAGGTCTCCCCATAGGATACCTAGAGTTGAGGCTTTGACACAATTCCAACTGAGTGGTTATTTAGAGATGCTGACACTGAAAACAAATATACATCCAAATATTATTCAGTCCCTTGTGTGTTATGGAAACTTGGGAGACTTTTAGGCTGCAGATACAGAACGATTATGCTGATGGTGGATTTTCACTAAACTGCTGGGGCAGAGGGAGCTAGACCCTGACTTTCTAAAATAGGATGCTTGCCCAAAACAGCAGAGTAGCTTCCTAATCTGATCATCTCCCTGTTTTTGTTCAGCAGAGACTCATATGCTTAGTTATAAGAAAAAGCTAATGGATTGCATAACATCACACACCACGAGGCTACTTGTACATAATGCTCATTCCGACATCTCATGTGATAGCTATTCACCACTGTCAGAGCTACTGCATACCATGAATCTAACATATAGCTTTACATATCATGATTTTGGTGAATCATGCCTATTATTATCTACCATTTGATGAGATATGATGTTAAATTAACTATTAGACATGATGCTCACTAATGTACACACTCTATCACAATATAGGTGAATTCTGTTTATGTCTATCCTATGATGGAACAAACTGTTAATCATCCATGAATTATTTCACATCACTCAATTGATTTCTTTTTAACTTTGCCAGCATTTTACTTGATAGCATTGCTTCTAAGATATGAATGATGCATTAAAAAGAGAATTGAATCAGTTGTGAAAAGACCCACATTCTGACCTAACTATAGTTACTAGAAATGCAACCTTTGACAATTGATGTACTACTCTGGAATTTTATGTTCACACTTAGAAAACATAGTTTGCAATACTGGGGGGCCAGAGTGAGAATTTTCAATCACAGAATCTGGTGTGGAACTTGCTCTTCTATACTTATAAATCAGGAGACATTGGAGTATATCCTCTGACCTATAGCTTGTTTGACTTTGGTCTATGCCTCAGAATGGGGAGTTTGGCTACATGGCCCTCTGGGATTACTATCATCTCTGAGAGGTGCCCACACTTGTTAGTAGAATGTCCTCCCAACCAGTGGATATAATATTCTGTAACAACTTGGATCATTACTCTTTATTAAAAATATACAGGGATATATGCAATTTCACTTAGTATTTCTAATTATTAGATTTACATATAATGAACACATGTTAAACTGTTGAATTTTAGGGCTTCTGGACATTTTTATCACTACAAATACATAGCATAAGATAAATAAATATGAGGGGCTCCCCTGGTGGCGCAGCGGTTGAACGCTGGGCTCCGAAGCTGTTGCAGCCTCTGCAGTGCCAGTTCAATCCCCGGCCACCAGGCGAGGGTCCCACATGGCTTGCAGACCTCTCTTGCCACCCACTGCTCCCCTCAGCAGTGTATTTCATCAGTCTGCCTGTTTTGTTCCCTGCTCTGGCTCTGGTGAATTCTCTAACTCTCCCGTGCATAATGTATAATAAATAAATATTAAAAAAAAGAAAAAATATGAGTATCATCAAAAACAAAAGGAAGCAGAAATACAGGATAAAATATATCAGCCACAGGATCAGTAAAGTCAGTCACAAAACGTTAAAGTGAATACCAAATGGCACACAACTATTTGGAGCAAATTCAAACAATACACTTTAGGCTCAATGTAAAATTAGTACTCAGCTGAGATCCAATCCACAGAGCAATGGCACATCATATAAATATGTAATAAAATATATTGAAAAAATATAACCTAATATACATAGTATACATTGCATAATATATATTATCTATTGCAATATTATATTCTATAAATATAACAAAAAATATAAACTGGAAAGTAGACAGTTTCTATCAACACTTGACTTCATCTAATGTGCGTGTAGCATATATATGGTAAATTCTGTAAATTTTGTAGATAGTAGGCATGGAATTTTCTTTATCATTTAAAAATAATTTTAGACAATATTTTATATAACTGTGATTTAATCAGGAGCTAGAATTAAAAGCACCATGAATATTAAGCTATTTTTACAAGGAATTAGAGGATTGGTTAATGAAGCATTTAATGGATATTTCCAAGAGGCTCTGTTCTAATGGGCTTAGGAATGCCCATTCCATTTTACACCTGAGGGAAATAAACAATCAAGTGAAACCTATCTTACACACTCATTCGTCAGCTTAGTGGCAGAGATGAGAGGAAAACTTTGCAGCTTAGATTTCTAATAGAGTGAGTAATAAATACTCCGGTAATACTTGTCCTGCTGCCAGCATTTTACACAAGATCATAGAATCATAGAAACCTTAAGTGTCCATTAGTCCAAACATGTCCAAACCACATTAAAATTTATTTGAAGGTTAAATGAACAACTACAAGAGATCTTTACTTAGAGCAATTGAAGATAAATGTTCTGTGGAATTCTTTTCCTTAGGGATTTTTTTTTTTTTTTTCCTTATTGAGGAATTCCTTGGTAACTGGGACAAAGATCTTACCTTTAATAAGGACTCTTTTAGGGTAATTGCTAATATGTTGGGAAAGGCAACATGTATCAAAGTTTATTGGATTATTACAGAGAATTTTTAGTGTCATACTTTTTTTGTCTTCATTAAATTTATTTGTCTTCATTAAATTAATTATGTTTATTGAGGCAATGTTTGTTTAAAAGGCTGTATATGTTTTTTTAATTTTTTTTTAAAGATTTATTTATTTATGCAAACACTGGGTACAGTCAGAAGCACGGGAGGGTGAGAGAATTCACCAGAGCCAGAGCGGGTTGCAGAGCAGGCAGAAGGACCGAAGTACACTGCTGAGGGGAGCAGTGGGCGGCAGGAGAGGTCTGTGTGCCATGTGGGACCCTCGCCGGTGGCCAGGGATTGAACTGATGCTGCAGAGGCTGCGGGCAGCTTTGCTGCCCAGTGCTCAACCTCTGTGCCACCGGGGAGGCCCAAGGCTGTATGCATTTTAGGGATATAGGTTCACAGAGTTACAGAGGCTTTTTTGTGTAGCAATTCATTCAGTTATTCATTCAGCAAATATTCATTGACTGGCTACTGTCACTATTGCACTGATGAAAGAGGGCTGAAAGAGACAAAATTCCTGTTCTCAATAAGATTCTACAATATTAAGAAGATAAGTGAGCAAAAAAAAAAAAAAAACCCCACATAATTTCCATTATGAGCAAACCCAACAAAACAATAAAACTGGGTAATGTGATCATTATTGGTGTTGTGGGGTGGGTGAGGGGTAGGGGCAGGAGCGTTGAGATAAGGGAAATGTTCTCTAAATAACTGGTTTTAGAGCAAATACCAGAATGATGATTAGAAAAATGAGAATTGCAGTTGAAGAGAACACTGAAGTGGAAATGAGGTTTGGAAGTTAAAAGAAAGGTTGACGCAGCTAATAAGAACAGAAGGATGATGAGCCAAGAGGCTAGGGGAAAATCATGCAGAAACTCATTAGCAAAGTAACAAATTTCAGTAGTCATGTGTATAGTGTTTATCTAGTTCTGTGGTATCAATTCCCATAGTTCCTCCTCACTTATCTTTATTTTCCTATAACCAAGAATGACCATTTGTAATAGGACTTATCACTATTCTCATCTTAAGGATTTGGTATTTATCAAATTCAAGAAGGAGAACAAAGTTCCAGTAAATATTTATCTAATCAATGCAGATATTTATAATATAATTTATTTATTTTTTTAATTTTTTTTTTTAATAGAGGCATGCTTTATTTATTTGTTTGCTGGTTTGTTTGTTTGTTTTGTTTATACATGCACTGGGTACAGTCAGAAGTGCGGGAGGGTGAGAGAATTCACCAGAGCCAGAGCAGGGAGCAGAGCAGGCAGAAGGACCGAAGTACACTGCTGAGGGGAGCAGCGGGCGGCAGGAGAGGTCTGCGCGCCATGTGGGACCCTCCTCCGGTGGCCGGGGAGCAGCCGGGGATCGAACCGGTACCGCAGAGGCCGCGGGCAGCTTCACAACCCAGCGCTCAACCGCTGCGCCACCAGGGAGGCCCCTATTTATAATATAATTTAAAAAAAAATACCCAGTGAGCTTTTAGGATCTAAAATAACAAGAGAGGATAAAGGACTTACATTGGAAATTGAGGAAACAAGCTCTCTAAATCAGCTGAAAAAGGAAGTAGTCTCAGGAATAAAAAAAAGTGATCTCTATTTACACATACCACATTTCCAAGTCTAGGGACCATTGTACCATGGTACATCTTGAAATTATATGGTAAGCAATTTTATGCCAAAAGTGAAACACCAGTGGACATTAAGTTACTTGTAAAACATGAACCTTCCTTCTTCAGTTCCCTCCAGACATACTCCCTGCACTGGTGCACCCTTGTATATATTTTCAGTTATTTCCCTCATCTCTGTCTCTGAATTTCAACTGTTAAATGAAATGCACTGAGGACATTTTGTGAGGACAAGAATATCCATTTACTATACTCTCAGGTGAAGGGGAGAATGAATAAACCACAATAGAAAGAAACTCTTCCAATAACTTCAACAATATGAGTCATATCAGATCATACCTGCACAGACTGGTCTCTCCAACAGGAAATTAGCTTCAAAAGTGAAATGTCAGCCTCAGGTAGAAGGGGTGCATTCTTTCCTAGAAATATACAGAAAACATCTATATCTTGAGGGTATTGAAAATGAACATAACCTACTGGTCTTTAACTCTGGCTGCACATCATTATCACCAAGAGTTTTGTTTTTTATTTTTTTAACAACACCAATGTCAAGATTCAATATTTCAGATACTGGTTGAAAAGAATCTGGGAAGAGGCATTAATATTTTCTAAAAGTCCCTCAGATAACATTCATGTACAGCCACAGTCAAAAACCATTAATTAATTTATATGATTTTAACACCTATATTAATACATTTTCACATCAAATCAGTTTCCTCTTTATACCTTAAATCCATCTTTGTACCTTTATGGCAACAGAATGCAATGGCTAATATTCCCACACAAGACAGATCACCAAATTTTACAATTCCTCCCACATGCACCTAGTTTCTGAAATTCTGTCTTACCACGAAGCAGTATCTATCACACAGAAAATCACATAAAATATTTCCTTTGGTTTGTCCTTACCCACTTTACTGTGATCAATAGGTAGAGCACTAATGTTTTAATTTGCCTCATTTTATGTATTATTTCTTTTGAGTTTGTCCTTTGAAATGTCCTTTCTATCTTTTGTCCTCAAGTTTAGTGTGAAATTTTAAGAGTAAGCAAGGTTTTGGTTTATTTAAATTGATCCATATTGTCCAGCAATCCCCTACACTTATTAAGTGCCTTTCCATGAATTGAAAATGCACATATTATTATCCAAATGAAAAAAGTCAATGAATTAAGGCTTTCTGATGACAGAAGTATATTATCTAGATGTGAGATCCCTCGAATGAGACAAGGAGGAATGAGGTCATATGCTAAAAAGAAAATTACCATAATTGTCTATTTAACATATGAATGTATATTTGAAATCCTGGTATCAACTACTTAAATAAGTATTAGGCCAATATGCTTTACATTGAATCAACTGAATCACCAATATGCATATATGTCCTATACATATATATATATATATATATATATATATATATATATATGTGTGTGTGTTTGACTATATACACACATTTACATATGTGTTATGTTAGCCATCAAGGGACATATAATAGAAGATACCAGATAAAATGTAAATTGAGATCATGAAAGAAATAAGAAATGTTGGCTCATTATTAGTATCATTATTTCTTCCTTATGGACCATGTGATAGGATTTTGAAATGACTAAGAACAGTGCATAAAACATCTAAGTATGGTAGAGTACTATGATTTTAAATTCATATTTGAAATTCCTCCTAAGCACAGCAGGTAAGAGAAAAATTTTCTTTTGATCTCTCTCCTTTCTCCCTCTTTCACTTTGTTGACCTTGTGACTCTACCATCAAAGCTAAATATTGGTCTTAACTGTAGCTACTTACTGGCATCATGGGGTACTTCACAGTGCACTTTAATGCAATGTTAAAATTTTAATATGAGATAGAAATGAAAGCCAACTTTTCTTGGCAATGTCAGTGAGTTAAAGAATTAATTGCAACTTCGGGGGAAAGATAAAAGAAAACATGCCAGGTTTACCAATATTACTTAGTCACCACTCCTGCTGACAGGAGTGGAAGTTATCGGTTCCTGTCAACTATTTAGAATGAGCACCTCAGTATAATTTTATTCCTTGGGCTATGACTTCACAAAATGAGTAGCATAAGTGATCCCTCCTTTACCTTCTCCTCCCAGATTTCTATTGTCAAAAAAAAAAAAAAATGTTTCCTTAGTATTTAACTTAATTGTAAATACTATAAATGTCACCTCTGAATAGCAGGTAGATTACACAGTAATGACATTTGCTTAGGCCACTATGATCCTGGCAACCATAGGAAAAACTGAGGCCGCCTAGTCTCTGGTTAGCAATTCGCTCACACTTTGCAAAATCATTGAAATTCTAATCCTTTTCTTAGTGTTACAAAAAGTGAAAACCAGGATTAATAACCTAATAAGGGTTACTATCTAAGGAGAAGGCAGGCAACCCAGACTGGGGTCATGTAGAGAGAACACAGCTTATAATCATGTGTGAGAAGTGGCCTGACGTCATGGAAGGAGCAAGGGGTTTGGAAACAGACGAGTTGAGCAGGAAACCTGGCTCCTCCATTTAATTGCTGTTTGACTATGAGCGATTTATCTAATTTCTCTGAGCCTCAGGGTAAAATAGAGATAGATAGTTGCTCCTACTGTGCAGTGTTGTTTGGAATATTGAGATAATACATTAAAACAATTAGCATAATTCTTCAAGTATACTGGGCTTACAATAATTGGAAGCTATTAATAAACTTTTACTTTAAAGTAGCCCAAACATTCTTTTCAGTAGCTCTGAGAGGGTCTCTATGTACAATTGTTCAGATCATTCCAATAATCACATTCACAACTTTGAAAGCAAAAGGCACATGAACTCTGGAGTCTTATTCCCATATTACAAATGTGAAAAATACGGCTTTTTAAGAAGTATAACACATGCCCAGATTTACTTAAGTAGTAAGTGGCAGAATTGGACCTTGAACCTCAACTCATTATCTTCCAAACTACTGTTCTGTGTACTGTTCATTCATAATCCAAAAGTATTTACTTAATTTCTTGGAGACATCATTCTAGAAACTTGGGACAAAGCCGTGATTAAAACTTTCATTAAAAAATAAAAGATGGAGGGCCTTCCCGGTGGCTCAGCGGGTTGAGCACAGTGCTGTGAAGCCATCCACAGCCTCTATAGCACCAGTTTGATTCCTCGCCAGCTCAGGAGATGCCCACATGGTGTGGCAGTCCTCTCTTGCCTCAGCAGTGTCTTCGGTCCCTCTGCCTGTTCTGCTCCCTGCTCTGTCTCTGGTGAATCCTCTCACCCTCCTGCGCCTCTGGCCTGTAGCCCAGCTCTTGTATAAATAAATAAAATATTTTAAAAAAGAAAAAAAAAAAAGATGGAGTTTAAAAGTAAGAGGTAGATGGCAAATAAAAGCATGATAGGATGTCAGTAGTAAAACAAGATTGTAGAAAAGAATAAAACAGAGAAAGGGATGGGGGTGCTGGACAGAAGGATGAGCACCTTCATGGATAAAATGACACTGAGTATGAAGTGATGGTGGAGGGTGGAAGTAGCGGGCAGCAGGTCAGCCTCTGTGGAATCTGGAGAAAGAGCATTCCAGGCAGAGGGAACAGCCAATGCAAAGGTGCTAGGATCTGCCTGTCAGGTTTTGGTAAGAGAGCCAAGGCCAGTGTCGCTGGAGGCAGGAAGCCGGTGTGAGTACAAAGAGAGGAGGACAGATAAGGGCATGTGTCCGATGACCTCAGTAGAGCAGACAGCTCATGCAGGGCCTTGGAAGCTGTCCTAAGGCCTGTGGCTTTGATTCTGTGAAATAGAGATGCTGAGAAGTTTAAGCAGATGCATGAGGTTCTGACTTAGTTTTGAATAGACCACTCTGGCTGCACATAGAATGCAAGAACTGAGAATAGGAATAGAAGAGGGGATAGGAGGCTTCAGCAGCCATCCAGGAGTAGGGGGTAAAGGCTCACAGGAGGGTGTCTCCTGTGGTTAGAAGCAATCAGACTCGGGGGTACACTGAACCAACAGGATTGCTACAAGAATGATGTCAGGTATGATAGAGAGGGGGAAGTCAAATGACACCCAAGTATTTGGCTTGAACGACTGGAAAGATAGAATTGTCATTTATTGAGATTCCAATTTGGAGAAGCAGATTGGGGAAGTGAATTAGCTATTTGGCATCAAAAGAAAATCTGAATACCAAGACTATTACTTGGAATTCTCTAATGTAATAATCACCTCTTTGGTAATAAAGTTATTGATACAAAACTCTGCATATAACGTTAATTTAATATCTGAATATTCCCCTTGCTAAAAAGTCTCAGGTTCTCATTCCAAAAATCATTTGATAAAATCCATCGCACTACATTTCTTATAAAATGGTATTTATTTAATAAAAATAGTCATGTATATTTTGAATATAGACAGAATACAAAACCATAACCATAAACAAACTTAATCAAACAGTAAACATATGCTCTTCTCATTCTAATTGTAGAGTGATATCTAGTTATAGAAAAACTAGTTTTTTATTTCTTAGAAGGAAGAAAATAGCAGGTGTTATCTGTAACTTCTTTACCATTTCGTAAGTGTCCGTAGAAGCTTGAAATACTCAAAACATCATTCCCCGGGCTTTTCATTTTATTATGAACAGATTCCATTTCGAAAGACCTGTTGAAAAACAATTTTAAGGATATCATTTAAGATATTTGAAAAATATTTTGAGAAGTAAGTTACAAGATTCAAGTTCATGACCATTTTAACAAATGGGGGAAACTGAGCATATTACTTTTACCAATGTTTTCCACATTAACCTCTTAGATGAGTCTTTTTTTCTCACTTTGCTCCTACCTAGCACTTTAATCTCAAGTGACCCATGAATCTTTGTTTTCCATAATTATCTGGTAGGAGCACTTTTTATAGGAGGGACCTTGTTTCTTAAGGTCATATAATTTGTGGCTCATGCAATACATATTTGAATCCTATTATGTCAAAGAATTTTCTCCAGGAACCATCACAACCTGGGAAGGCAGGCTGTACCCTGAGTTAAATAATTTAGACATGGAATGTTCAGATACTATTGAGGAATGTTAACATAGGCAGACAGCTCTTAAAATTCAGTTAAGATGTACACCCAGTTGTTGTTAAACATACAAGAATTTCTCAAACTTCATAACCACAGTGAAATGCTAGCAAAATGGCTAAATCTATTCAGTGGTTTTGGTGTGACAAATCCAATACACTTTATTTTTATTTCTTATCTCTGATAGCTGATCAAATCTAAAGCAACTGATTTAGAAAGTAGTCTCTAATGTTGACACCGCCACTCTATAATTTTTTCTAATGAAAAAAAATTGTTTTAGTTAACTAATGTGCGGCAATGTTTTTAAGTCATTTAATGGAAAGCAACCTGAAAGCCCACAATCCCCCCTGAAGGCCACTAGACATATACTGTATAGCATGTTCTTTGATTCTTATTCACAATCTCAGAATGAAAACCTCTGCAAACAATAACTAAGTTGCTCATCTGCTTGCTCTGTGGGATCACAATCACGCAAACAAGTATAATTATTAGAAATTCAAGAGATTTTAAGAATTTGAAGAAATCTTAGTAACCATCCTTTTCTTCCCAACTCATTTTATAAATGAGGCCCAGAGGACTAAGTGACTAGTGTAGTCACAAGGCTAGTTAAACAACAAAACCAGGATTCAATTCCAAAGTCATCAGGCTTCATACTGTCAGCAAATTTGTTCAACTATCTAATTTTGAATTGGGTGCTAGGTAATTTTCTTAGAAATAGCAAGAAGAAAAAAAAATAAGAGAAGTCTATTTGAAATTAAAAAAAATCTGGGTAGTTAAAATAAATAGAGGGAAAAATTGATGAAGGCTAAGTATAAGAATCACAGAAATTGGTTTTCTCATTGGGGCTAACATACAGAAAATGGAAACCGTGAAATAGATCTATTATAACAGAAGGAAGCATACCACTGGATACTGTATGATCCATATGGACTTCCTAAGAGACTGTAGGTTTACTGAGGACAGGCTGTATCTATTATTCAGTCCCTGGCACAGGTAATTGTTGAACTGAGCTCTCATCAAATAACACAAATGCCGAGACTATTTACCACCATAAGGTGGCAGTTCAAAAAAAAAAAAAAAAATCTCTTCTATGAAGGCTTTCTGATGGTTCGTCTTACAATAGTTAACCTCTACTACAAGTATTTTTCCTAGTGAGTTTATTCTAAGTCAGCATTTTCTACTTGTTTCATATGCATTATTTTTATAATTTGAGTGAGTTCCTACCTAAATGAGAAATTTATTTATAGTTCCTCTACAGGTTAGTGTTAGGCACGTATTCAGTAAGCACTTGAATTGAATTCATTCCTCTAACATCAGACTATGAGAAACTATATTGAACTTTAACAGTGGGAAAAGATGGGCATACAGAATCAAGGTTAGCAATTAATGAGGTGCTAGAATTCGACTCTAAGGAGCCGAATTAATCTGGGGTTGATACTTTTTCTCCATAAATCTAAATATCCTTAGCTATACAATAAGCATATTATATGTCTTTGATGTGAATATTAAAGGAAGTCATCTATTTAAAGTGTTTACATTGTAACTAGTAGATATTAGACCCTCAAAAAATAGCCATTATACTAAACTGAACTTTCTATAAATGAATTACTGACAGCCTCTTTTGTTTGAATATGCCAAAGTGTGAATAAGTGATGTGATTTTTTAAGTATGACATTTACCAGCTTTTCTTTCCCTGATGGTATGTGAAATTTGTCATTACGAGCATTTACCAGAATGTTCTTATACTTTATACTTAATTCACAGAAAGTATTATGAACTTCAAGGTGTGTATGACTTCATTTATTCATGTACCTGTGTATCTCTGTATGTTTATCTCTCTCTCTCTCTCTCTCTCTCTCTCTCTCTCTCTCTCTCTCATCTGTCAAATCATAGCATTATGCTATATCCCTGGCACATATTATGAGGGCAGTGAATATTTCTCAAGTTAATAAATTTTTAAACACATAGATTTATTGCCCAGATTATTCACCAAATGCAAAGAATCAAAAGGAAGATCTTAATGTCTTTTGAGATAAATAAATTGTTGCATATTTACTCTTCATCAGAAGAAGGAAAGAAGGGAGGGATAGAAAGGGGTGGAGGGAAAAGGGCGGGAAAGTGGACAGGATGTTAGAGAACTGAATACAGCAAATAGTAAGTTTTCTAATGACCTAAATAACAATAGTCAAAATCTCTGAATCTGTCTTACCTGTCAATTCCACATGTCAATTCTAAAGGCATGTTAACTAGCTTATTAACTAAAAATAGTCTGTTCAATAAATAAATTATTGTGTTTGACTCTTGCAAAGAATCACCATTACTTTCCAGTTCTCTTGGCATTCCAGCCTGATTTGAAAGAGTGGATATGTATTTATTTGACAAGTCCAAAACTTTTCTGGAAAATAAATTTACTTTTGAATAGTCTTTTTTCATCTCAGTATTGTATGCATCCCAGCCTGGTAGCATCAGTGAAAAGTGATCTTCATTTGAAGCAAGTCCTAAAGAAACAGGACCCTGAAGCTTTAAAATATTGAGATGTTTAATGCAGAGATTATCTAGTTCTTTATCCACTCCCCACGGCAAAAGGCAAGACAGGAGCAGTTTAGCTGTGTCGATTATGAGGTTGGCATTAACCTTTCTCGAAGGCTCGTGGTGCACCTTTTTGGAGCTCTTCATTTTTTTGTGCCTTTTGATGCCATCATTTTCTTCTGAGAATTTGATGGTATTATCTCCTTGGACCAGACTTTCATGAACTGGCTTGTTGGCTTGGGCCTCGGCTGAGAGAGGACCACAGGCAATTTTATTTCTTTTTAGCGTCAATGTTTTCTTCTCTACTGTGCTTCTGGCTCTTCTCAGGATCTCACTCCCATAGAATGAATTGGAAGGGTCAACATCACAGACTGGAGTCAGCAGCAAGAGCTCCACAAGGTTTTCCAGATCAAATAAAAGGATATGAAAGTTAATGTTACTCCATGTGGTCTTCACAGGCAAGACAGTAAAAGGTCCTGCGAAAGATTTATGTTCATCAACCTAAGGGAATAAAAGCATTTAGGTCAAAGTTCTTTATTTCATTAAAGGCTCTGTGATATTAAAATGGCATTTTAAGAGGTACTAAGTAGTAGTGCAAATAAAAGCAAGTTGTTTCAATAAATAGAATTAAATACAAAAATTCCAAATGAAACATTTTATAGTCTAATATTCTTTGAATGTCTTCTTTCTGAAATTTTTATTTTTTGTCTGAAGAATGGGTCTATAGAATAAAACGGCAGAAGGTTAACATCTTTTTATATACACTTTCACATTTTCCCTCTAATTAGCCATAAAGACTTAAAATGGGGAAGAGTGGGTTTGAAAATTAAGAACAATTAGAACACCTTAAGATTTTAATTAGTCTTTTAATAAAGAGTGGTCTCTTCAAATTTGTTTAAAATTTTAAATAATTGGAAATAACCTAAATATTAGGCAATATCAGACTGCCTTTTTTTTTTTCCTTCAATAAAAAGTCTCCCCTTAGTGGACTTTCAATTTCCCTAACTCTGTCTCAAATAATATTGCTCTAAAGACTGGCATGGTGTGGTCCCATAGGTAGATTCCTGCTCATTTATGAGGCCTTCCATGCACACCCTGTCCACTTATGTCAGCCTACTACTCTGTCTTCTTTGGGTTTTTATTCTTCTAGTACTTACGATTACTTCTTATGAAAATTTTATTTGCATACTATATATTTTTCCTCATAGCATTCAGATTCCACCTTTGCAGTTTTGTGCATTTCCCTGTTCCTTATGCCTATAAAATGATGCTTCAATACAGGTTTACTAGGGGGTCAATAAATACTTGCTGAATGAATGACACATGTATACACAATGGAACACAATTCAAATATTTCTAAATGATGTGTAAGACTACATTTATTAGAAGAAATAGGCTATTTTAGGCAAAAAAAATCATCCTTTCTTTTGTAGAACAATCTGTGTGAAATACAGATATTTTTAAATGTTAATGTATATGTATGCTATATATATATTATATATGTATGTATAGATTGATTATAAAGGGCATGCAGCGAAATGCAAACAGCTGTTAACTGGGAAGAGGGGTTAAAATTAAAATGGTCTTGTCTATAATTTGGGGTCTTTTAATTCCCTTGCAATCTTTTTCAGTGATGATATATTTATGTACAATCAGAAAAGTGAAAATTTAAAAATCAAACCATAAAAAATTTAGTTCAAATAAAATGGGGACAAACTGTTAAAAACTCATTTCCACCCTAAGATAATACAAGGGTTGATATGATTATTAAATTTTTTTGGTAAAAAGTGTACTATACAGACTGAAAAATGGGCAAATAGCATCCGTAACAATTCACCAAACATAACTTTAAAATAAAAAATGAAAAAATGCTTAATACTGGTAGTAAATAAGAAATGAAATTAAGAGAATACCATTAATTACCTATTGACTTAGTTAAGAGGTCACTTATATTATTGTCATATAATGTTTACAAACAAAATAATATGGAAACCATATATTTAATCATTTTAGGATTATCAATGTTGTATACCAAGAAACATGGATAGTATCACATAGTGTCATTAGTCATAATTGCTTCAAATTAAAAACCACTTAAATGTCCATCAGCAGTGGAGTAGGTAGAAACATTGTGTTATATCCATGTGATGGAAAAATGAAAATGAAGGAACTGTAAGCATTCAAAAACATATATAAAAAATGTATAAATTTCACCAACATAATGTTGACCAGACACAAAAGAAATAACTATATGATTTGTTTCCTGTTAATTTAAAAAAAGTGAGCCGACTTTAAGCTTTAAGGATGCATCAATAGCTAGTAAGCCTGCATGCCTACATTTTTTCCAAAATTTTAAGTTTTGCACAACATTTTAAAACTTCAATGTTTTTCTTTTTGTGTTTGGTTGGCAATAAACTACATTTTTAATATTGTTCTATCTCAATATCCAATAGTTGCAGCATCATTTGTGAGTTTCCCCATGTCTCACTGATTTCTGTTACCTGAGACATTAATCAATTTATGCACAATACTCCATTGTACAATAGTTTTAACAAGACTTGAGAGCTGGGTAAATAGGTTCTCCTACCTTTTCTCTCTCTTCCCTTTTCTTCATTTTGACAGTTGCATATAAATTTGAGAATATTTGTCAAGTTTCAGATTATATTTGACCATGCTAAATTTCTTTGATCGTCTACAAGGATGTTCATATTATTTGCTTATAAGCTTATCAATTTTTAAGTTTCTGTAACACCTATAGTCATGAGTTCTTTTCGTTTCTGATATTATTTTTGTTGCTTGTTTTTTTTCTTTGTAAAAGTTTGTCAACTTTTATGTCATTTCCAAAGAATCAACTTTTTTCCATTTTCTTTTATTTCTTTCTCATTTTATACATTTTTTACATCATTTTTCATTTTTGCACAATGTATGCATTTTCATCTTGGTTATACTCCCCATACAATTCCCACCCCCCCTTGTTTTGATCCTACTCCCTCCTCCCGCCATGTAGCGTGTCTCTGGTTTATACTTGCTTGTTCATTTTGATTTTTACTTAATTTTTTTTTTGAATTTAAAAAACCTAAATAAGGGACCAGGAAAAAGACTTAATTATAATAAAGTGAAAATCAAAATCAATAACCAACTATAATCCGGAGACATGCTACAGGGCTGGAGGAGGGAGTAGGATCAAAACAAGGGGGATGGAAATTGTATGGGGACTATAACCAAGATGAAAATGCATACCTTGTGCAAAAATGAAAAATGATGTGAAAATATATATGAAATAAAATAAAAATGCTCATCAAAAAAAAAAAAAGGAATCAACTTTTGAATTTGTTGACCCTCTCAACAGAATGTTTTTCTTGATAGTTTTGCTGAGCCTAAAATTTTAGCTTGACTACTATTCACAGCATTTTTGAAGACATTATTCTGAGTCTTCTGACTTTCTTTTATGAGGTTGCGATGTCAGCTGGTGCTCTGTCATTCCATCAGTCTTTCCTCTGCTCCTTTTTAGATATTTTTGTCTTTGATATTCTGCAGCTCACTATAATTCTCCTGTGAGTGGTTTTCCCTATTCCTATAGTACGTCTGAGTATTACAATCTTTTATTAATTTTGTGACGTTTTCAGGCTTACACTTCTAATATTTTCCTTACTCATTATATTATTTACTTATGGAACTCAGACTGGATAATTGTCAGAGGGCATCCTGTCTCATGTTTTTCATCTCTATGACAAGTGCTAGCTGGGTAGTCTCCAGAGATTATTTTCAGTGTGCCAGTTTTCTTCTCTCCTGTCTCTACCATGAAACTTAACTTACCCATTGAGAGTCTAATATTAATTTTTATGTTTTCCATTCCTAGAAGCTGTAATTGGTCCCTTTAAAAAGTAAATTGGCCATTTTTATAATCAGTTATTTCTTACATTTTAAGACCTATATTTTTTTAATTTTTTTAAGATTTATTTATTTATGCATACAAGAACTGGAGTACAGGTCGGAGTTGTGGGGGGTAAGAGGATTCACCAGAGACAGAGCAGGGAACAGAACAGGCAGACTGACTGAAATACACTGCTGAGAGGAGCAGCAGGTGAGTCAGGAGAGGTCTGCTGCACCATGTGGGTTGCTCCCTGGCTGGCAGGGGATCGAACTCGTGCTGCAGAGGCTGCGGATTGCTTCATAGTGCTGTGCTTAACCCCTTCTCCACCAGAGAGACCCCATAATTTTTTTAAATGAACTTACTTTGTATGCTGTATTTATAGTTCCAATTTTTAGAATCTTGTGGATAACTCTGTATTTTGATCTCCTCATGCTTTCTTTTTTTCCTTGTATGTTTTGTAATTGCATGAGCGGGGTGGTGAGGGAGGGATTGGTGAGAATACTTCAAGACATCTGTTGAAGCTGTATTCTTCAAGAGAGGATTTGGGTTTGTGACCGTCAGGTACCCTGTTGGGGTACTACCAACATGTCCCTCTTTAGACAAAATTTCCAGCTTAGCAGTTTTTCATTTCTTGTAGATGGTGTGGATTCTTTCCCCTAACCCGGGTGTAGTGGAAATTTGGTTATTAATTCTCAAGCAAAATTACTTTGCCCGTTCCATCTTGGACTCACATCCACACAGGCAAATATTTTCATTGTCTCCTTTTGTGAAATATATTCCTAAATTGGCTTAGTTTTTCACTGCATTTATAGGTCATAGAGAATTATGGATTTACACAGTGGTCTATAAGCCTTTTCATCAATGTGCTGGCCCTGGGCATTCCTGCTAATCACCTTAGATGTGGTTAAACCTAAAGCTATAAGTATCCAGGTAAAGCACATGCTCTTTTCAGTTCTTCCTACTTAAATATTTGTGCTCTCATTTTGTTTTTTACCCCCAAGAATTTCATTAAATTTCATTTTAATTCATATAAATATGTTTAAGAATAATTTTTAAATTATCCAGTATCCCTGAAAAATTAGGTGGGACTGAAGTTAGGCTATTAGCTCACAAATAGGTGGAAACTGGATTTACAAAGAGAATTAAAATGAAAGTATTTTTTTTTTTATAATGGGGCGAGAAATAGGCACTCTCATACACTGCACAATAGGTGTAAATGAGTATCTTTTTTAATGGAAGAATTTAGCAATATGGCTCAATAGACTTAAGACATCAACTACTCTTTGATCCAGAAGAGGATTTAAAAATAATTTATCCTAAGAGTAAGAGTATCTTACCAGATGCACAAAATTGTATGGAAAAAGAAAGTTAATTTTGGAAATTCTATATGAATAAATTGAAAATAACTCAGATGTCCTAATATAGATTTGACTAAATGCATTATGGTATCTGCACACATATAAACTAAGCAGGTATTAAAAAGAGTTCTTTATAAAGTATGCAGTGCCAGGCATGTAATTCTTCTGCTTCTAAATTTAAATCTCTGGATTTTAAAAAAGTCATTGTAGTTTTTATAAATTGCAGAGCTTTCTTAATATTTATTTATTTTTTTTTTATTTTTTTTTTA